TTAATCCTTACTAGTCCATCAGCAATGTTTTGAGAGGGCTTATTTTTAAAAAGCCTACCAAAGCATTGCTGATGCACTAGATTGGTTCGTAACAATTAAAAAGAAATGTAAAACTCCCTCTCAAAGGATGATTGTCATGGAATATTTCAAGAGAAATCTAGACAAAACACCTGGCAGATATCCTTTTATTTGTATTCCTGCACTAAGCAGGGAATTGGACTCGATGGCCTGATAGGCCGTTTTCAACTTTCTGATTCTGATTTAAAGCAGGGGTCTCCAAACTTCTCTGCATGAGGGCCACATAATATATGTTCCACATTTTTGAGAGCCAAAGGAACACGCATGCATGCCTACGCACAAGTGTATGTACATACACACACACACACACACACACACGGGCTGAAGGGAACAGACCTGAGCCTGTGACATTTGCCAGAATGGATAAAAAGGCAAGGGGGGGGATAATGTAGCCCTCAGGCTGTAGTTTGGAGACCCCTGATTTAAAGGAAAACTTTCTATTTCTCAAAATCATTAACAGGCTTCTTCCTCCCATGCTTTGCCTAAGCTGCTTAATGATCTTAAGAATGGAAACCTTTCCCTTTAACAGGGAAGATTGTGCTAAACAGGGTTACTTGGTGCGTCCAAATGACATACCATACCCTCAAACAGTCCTGTTTAGTACAATCTAGACTGAACCACGCCAAGGTAATTCAGCCATATAATTATACCCCTACACAATGAGATCTCCCACTGCCACAAACACTGATGTTACTTACAAGATCCCTATTCTCAATATTGTAGCTGCTTTACACTTGGGGGGGGGGTCCTGAATAGCTCTTTACATGAGCACCAACAAAAGTCAAATTGCTGACACAAATGGTTTGACTTACACAGGATCCTAGCAAAGAGTGATGTGATACCTCAAATACCAACAAAGTGTGATTGGCATGTGGTTTCATGGACTTCAGCCTACTTCTTCACATAGTCCAATTGTTTCACAAGATGCTGAACATTACACAGGTCACTGGTATATACAATGCCACCTCACACCAGTTTGGTCCTGTAAATAAACTTTCAGCATGCAAACTGCAGTAAAATGTTTGCACATCTCCATATACCCTGACTCTATATCTATACATAATCTTGAAAATCTTATTAAATGAAGTGAAGCATTAAATGATTTTTTTTCAAGGTACAAGAAAGAGAACCTGTTTTTAGACTCTTCCTAGGTAAATTGCTGTTTCCCATTTTGTACATGCTGATTAAGGAATGATAGAAATTTTAGTCTAGCATACTATTGCTGGTGTCTATATTCTCTTTTTTAGCACCAGGCAAAGTGCTTTCAAAACAGAGGTGGGGAAAAGAGTAACCTTCCAGATGTTTTTAGATTGCTACTCACACCATACTCCATCATGTTAGATAAGGCTGAAAAAAGTACTAGACAGCACAGCCTTGAATCTGAAAGACCTAACTAGAGCTGTCAATAATTCATATAACTCAGAAGCGATGTGATGACATATAGCACTGGGGAAGGTACAAACTCATCCTTTTCAAATGTTATTTTATCCCATTAATTACTATGCTTTTATAATACTATACTTTTTGTCGTTCTACTTTGTAAATACCCCTAGGAATTTTTATAGGATTAAAGGGTGTAGAAAGTCCAAGAGTAAAAGAATCATCCTGTGGTGAGAGCAGAAATCTTGATCCATTCCCATTCTTTCCCAGCTGTTAAGCCTTCTTTCTTCTCTGTTCCTATTCTCTTGCAAACTGACCACTGCTATTCCTTGCAGATGCTCAAATTCCATTTGGCAATCACCTGTATACCAATGGAGACAGCAGGTCAGAATCCAGCCCCTTCCAAAAGCTTGTTCTCCATCCTGATATTTATCCATTTAACATCTAGCTCAGCACGTAGGTGTCATCTGGCAAAACTGCCAGGAGGCCACTGATCATATATAGATCAGCTTCTCCACTTCTCTTCTCTTATTTTCAGGTGTTTCATTTCTTCAATTCATGTGTGTCATATTATTCCTTTCTTGTTCTTCCCAAGTATTTACATTATATGGCTTCCTCACTGTTGCCTTCTTTGTTTAATATGTATTAGCAACTCACTCACAACCTGGTTAAAAAGGTAGTTGAAACTTGAATTGGTGCAACCTTATGCTTTGTCATTTGTTTCTGCACTGCATATCAGGCATATCATGATTCCACCCACCATGCAACATAGCCTCTTCTGTTATAAATGTGCACAATGGTGGTTTCTAACTTATATTGACTGACAGAACTGGCAACCAATAAGATTTGCTACACAAATAATCTTGCTTTGCTTTTCTCTCCAACAATGTAAGCAGTACTGAACACACACAGGAAACAAGCGTGGGTCAATGAAACATTTTAACTACATTGGTTTTCAATGAAAATTAAAGGACAAGACTACATAAACTTTCTGTGGATGAAAATTATGAGTCTCTGTAAATTCAAGACCTCTTCAATAGCCAACGTTGGCAAAAATACTAAGGTAACTTCCCTCTTAGCATTTGAAGATTAGGGTTCACAGAAACTCTGGGGTTAATCCTTAATTAGTACTTAACAGTTCATTTCCACTCAACTACTGACCATTTATGAGGATAATTATTTCATAGCGAAGAACTCAAATGAGGCAAAGTTTATCGTAATTCTGAAATTGTTTACTTATTTTAAAAATATAACTATTCTTGTCTAGGGAGTCGTAAGAATTAACTGAGCCATTTAAGTAGTGATTTCAAATCCATAGCTGAGTCTACATAACCAGCTTCCACAGTGTGAACTACTGTGATAAAAAAAGCAAGTTATTCATGCTTGTAGTGACAAATTCATGTGACCCTTTTACTCCTTTCAGTTTCAGACTGCAAATGCAACCTCTCAGTCTGGCCAATCCATATGGCCTATTCACACAAGGCGTACTACCACTATTAAGGACACACCAGTGGCAGTGGACACACGAGTGGCAGTAACAGAAGGACGTGGTGGCACTGCGGGTTAAACCGGAGAAGCCTCTGTGCTGCAAGGTCAGAAGAGTAGCAGTCGTAAGATCGAATCCACGCGACGGAGTGAGCTCTCATCACTTGTCCCAGCTCCTACCAACCTAGCAATTTGAAACTATGCAAATGCAAGTAGATAGATACCACCACGGCAGGAAGGTAACAGCGTCCCATATCTAGTTGCGCTGGCCACGTGACCACGTAAACTGTCTTTGGACAAAATGCTGGCTCTATAGTTTGGAAACGGGGATGAGCACCACACCCTAGAGTTGGACACGACTGGACTAAACGTCAAGGGGAACCTTTATTTTTACCTAGTGGCAGTGGAAGAGTGTCTTCGTGGCCTTGCTTCAAATACACTGGGGACCATCATACTCCCCAAGATGAATGCCACGTATCAGTCACTTTAAGATGTTTGATATGTTAGTGTGTCTCTCAAGATGCATTCACATTTTATCCTGCTTATAACTCTCAGTGAACACATTTCTATTGTTTTCAGCATAAATACATTATTTGTACATTTGCATGGGCTAATTTGTAGTTTGAGATTGCAACTCTCCAAATTCCCCAGGCAGTGCTTCCCAGACTGAGACTGCAACCCTCAGATGTTTCAAATAATTCCGAAAAGCAATCAATAAAGACAAATCTGCACACCTCCATGCACACTGGCAGGCACCTGTGAAACAGAAGACAAACCTCTCTTCTGAGGTACTTGTTTGCATGCATATGCATTGGAGAAAGCAAGTGAAAGAAGGTGGAAGTGTGCAAGTGGATAAGCATGTACTGTATGTTTTAGCCCAGGTACATATAACCACCTTCCCTGTGTGGTAGTGGTGTATGGGCATCCATACATCTTTCAAATGTGTAAAGAGAGAAGATGGCATCAGGGGTTTAGCAGCATGAAATGCTAAGGTACCGTATTTTTCCATTTATAAGACACATACTTCTCTAACCCAAAAATTCAGAAAACTTCGCTTTGAGTATTCAGCCTCTGGGCTCAGAATGCTTGGACATTACGTGTCCCTATTGTATCTGATCACAACCTAAAGCTCCACCTCCAATGAGGTGTGTTCCAATTGGTTTATTCAGCATCAGCTGACATCAGCTCCATAAGACTCATGATTAGAGGAAGCGAAGTCTCCTGACTGTAGGAAGCTAAGCCTTGTGACTGAAGGAAGCCTGTTTACAGAGGCAAGATAAGAGTAGTTTTGGTCTCTCCATGTTTTCAGCTTACTTCCGTGTAAAATACACCCCTTCAATTTTTAGTGTAATGATTTTAGGAAAAAGTAGCATCTTATACACAAAAAAATACGGTAGATGCCAAGTAAAGGTGTAGTGTATTTTTGAAACTCAGTTCTAAGAGTGCTGCCTGGGAAATTCTTGGGAGATTTCTGGAAGTTGCAGTTTAGTTCTGGGAGATACTACCTGGGGAATTCCGGGTGCTGCAGTTCACAAATATGAATCTGCACATGCCTAATGTTTATAATGCCACTGGGCAGACTTACTGTAACTAACAGTGAAACTTGCAGGCTTAAAAATTAAGACAAAAATTGTTATTTCATGTATTTTAATAGCAAACTTACAGGAACAGCACAGAAGACAGACAACATTAAAAACATGTACTTGCATGTAGGACAACTTAGTTTAGAAAAGTATAGTGAATTGATGGAATTTACTATATGATAAAAATGTTACAGACACCATATAGTTGCCATCAATAAGAAATTTTCCCATTTTTTTAAAAATCCAAATGCTGGCGTTGTCCAGAAAAGTTTGACTGGCATATTTATAATTGATATAAAGGTAACCTGCTGAAATTTGTTCACTGAAATGGTTTCTGATAGCTATAATGCTTTATATGTCCCCACGTTTATATTAAAAATCCACACACAAATGAAAATGAAAAAAGAACTTGCAATACCCGATTCTGTCCTCTATTTTCCCATTTGCAACCATATACTTAGGTACCTTTTAACCCCATGGAAAAAAATTATCTAACGTTCATTACTACCAATAACAGGAAGAAGAGATTTTATTTGTTTTGAGAATGAAAAATCCATCTTCGCAGAACTTAAGCACGCTCTCCACGTATGCGGCGTGCTAGCTGGATATCTTTTGGCATGATTGTGACACGTTTGGCGTGGATAGCACAAAGGTTGGTGTCTTCAAACAGGCCAACCAGGTAGGCCTCACTTGCCTCCTATTAAAAGAAGAATTTTAATATGTTAAATACATACACACACCAAAACTCAAGTGTTTATATTTACACCTCTGCCATGTCCCTCTCTTATGCAACTGGGAAGAAACCAGCGACATTCTTTCAAACACCAGATTTCCATGCTCTTTAAGAATCAGCAAACTACAAAATCTGTCTGTTGTCCAAGACACGATTCTGAATTCCACACCTGGACTAGAAGGTAACAAGAGATGGGCATGGACTGGAAAACAGATTGTTCACGGTTCATGGCTAACCATGAACCACTACAACTCCCCGAAAAAAAAAACAACCAGTTCAGTTTATTTTTCTGGTTGCTGCTTAGGGGGAGCACGCTACTTGCTCCTGTCCTTTGCCTGCACGTCTTCTGTTGCCCACGCACCTACAACTTCCCCACTCCACCTGCTGCCACCTTACGTGCTACTGCCATCACCTCTTCTGCTGCCAGGAAGTCAGACCACCTATCAATGGAGCATGTGCCCACTACCACGTTGATAGACAGGTTCATGCTCAGAAGCAGCAGCTGGCTCATGGCAGGGAAGCTGGGCCCACTGCCTCAGAGGATGGCAGCAGTGGCAGGAGCAGGTTGGTAGGTGATAGGGGCAGTGGGAGGGTGGCATTCTGTTTTCCTTCAGGAAAAGGGGATCCCCAAACTGGGCCACAAACTGACCTAAGAATCAGCCTGGTTTGTCGATTTTACTGGTTTGCAGTGCAGTTTATGCCCATCTCTAGAAGGTAGCCTTTCACAACTAACTAATCCTGAATTTTCTACCATATCAATTCTCAACTCACTCCTTATAAATTCATTAGCTAGTACAGTGGTGCCTCGCTTAACGAGCGGACCGCATAACGACGAAATCGCATAGCAATCCGTTTTTTCGGATCGCTAATGCGATCGCTTAACGTCTTTTGAATAGGGCTCAATTCGCTTTGCGAAGACCGGTAAGCGTTTCGCTTACCGATCTTCGCAAAACGAAACCCGACAATCAGCTGTTTGGCGGCCAAAATGGCCGCCGGAAGCCGGGAAATGGCCTAAAATGGCCGCGTGCAGCGTTTTCGCGCCCTCGTTAAGCGAGGCGAGGGCGCGAAAATGGCTGCAGGCCATCCTGAAGCTTCGCTGAACGGTATTTGGCCTATTTGGAACGCATTAAACGATGTTTAATGCGTTCCAATGGAAATCGCTGCCCCGTTCAGCGATGCTTCAGCATAGCGAAGGTTAATCCGGAACGGATTAACCTCGCTATGCGAGGCACCACTGTATCTCATAAAACCCACACTGGCTCATGGCTGAACATTTGGGGCAGTATTTTAAAACAAAGAATGTTCATAAATGCAAAAGCTCTAATCCATAGCTTAGTGCAGAAAAAAACATGTAGGATTCTTTGTGGTCCCTACAAGGGCATGGGTTCAACTCATTTTAACCCTTTTCCCTCAGTGCTTTCTGCAAACTACAGTATTAATATTGGTTCTATTGTCCTGTGGTGTAATAATATTTTGATGAACTGAAATCTGCATAGAACTGGACAAGATAATCTTTGAATATCGAAGATCTATAATTTTATGGGGTTTGGACCACACATATATGGCAACCCAGCGGTTGTTCAATCATTGTTGGCCATCTGCGTTAAGAACACAGAATGTCAGGGACCCCAAATCTTCACTACACAATTGTCGGGCTCTACACCTTGAAGGATCCCAAATTATGGGGAAGCACTCTAAACTGCACTGAATGCTTTGATCAGTAAAACTTGTTGGAACATTGTGTATGTCCTGTAGAACTTCCTATTGGGTTTACTACGGAGCATTTGTACAGTGGTGCCTCGCTTAACGATGTTAATTGGTTCCAAAAACCCCATCGCTATGGGAAAACATCGTTAAGCGAAACACCATTTCCCATAGGAATGCACTGAAAACCGGTTAATCCGTTCCAATGGGAATGGATTACTGTCCCTAAGCGAAAATCCCCATAGGAAACATCGCTAAGTGAAACAATGTTTCCCCCAACGGAAAGCCATTCAAAAGCATTGCAGCCAGCTGCAATGCTTTTGAATGACTCTCCAATCTCTGTTTTCGCTAATTTTTAAGTGTCTTAAAATGTTTGAAACCTGTTTTAAATGATTGGAATCGGTAGTCCCCCTTGTGAAACATGTGCAAACTTAATTTGGCTCTGTTCTGAGTCTTCGTTAATTTTTGGTGATTTTTTGTTTTCCCCATTTAAATCCATTGAAGGGACAGTTCAATGGATTTAAATGGGGAAAACAAAAAATCACCAAAAATTAACGAAGACTCAGAACAGAGCCAAATTAAGTTTGCACATGTTTCACAAGGGGGACTACCGATTCCAAGCATTTAAAACAGGTTTCAAACATTTTAAGACACTTAAAAATGAGCGAAAACAGAGATCGTTAAGTGAAAATCCCCCATAGAGAACATCGTTAAACGATGCGGAAAATTCCTCCAAGAAACACATCGTTAAGTGAATTCTTTGTTAAACGAAGCAATCGCTAAGCAAGGCACCACTGTATTATGTTTATTCTTGCCACACTGGCTGGCCTTCTGATTCTGGAGCCATAACCACTTTCTATTGCAAATCTATCTCCTTTAAGGCAGGAATTAAAAGTGCTACTACATAAGGAAATGGTAGGCATTGAGCGTGGAGCTCAGTGTTAGTTTTGTTTGGAAACTAATGGAAACTGTTCAATAAACAACACATCTTCTGAGGTATAATCAAGACAAACCAAGTGCTGTTTTAGAGCTCTTCTTTTTTCAACCTAGACTGGCTCCTACAATTCACTCTTAACTACATAAGCATCATATGGAAATGAATTCACATTATTACATTTTGAAAATGCACTGGAGCTGCTTGCATTCAACAATGGCATACAGCACAGGAAGTATGATGGTGCTCACAAAGTATTATAGAACACACTTCCCATACTCCCTCACTACTGGCTATGCTGAATGAGGCTATAATGGAACTTGCAATCCAAAACATCTGGCACCCACTGTCTTGCCTCTCTATTCTACATAACAATTCTTCATATATAGTTCTTTACACAAGAACAACATTCAGGGACTATCAGGAAAAAGAGCAGAAAATACGACTTCTAAACCACAAACCCCTCCAAATAAATGAAGCTTCCTTTTGAGTACATATCACCCTGCTTGAAAAAAAAGGCCTCATTCAGCAGAAGCCTCCATGTCATCCCAGCTTTGTAGGACATGTGTCAGATTTCCCCACACTTCCTGCTGATACAAAGGAACGGTATTCACTGCTGAAACTTTTACACAGCCACAAATTACTAAGTTTTCTGAGCCAGTGTAATGTAAGTCACATTTATAACAAATTCAGCTTTCCACCTAAAACTTAAAATTATCAAATATATCTTCATGCTTATGTAAAGGCCAAAGGAAGGCATATTAACAAAATACTGGAGGCATTAATCAACTCATTTGCAGCTTCTTCAAGAGATCTATACTGAAACCGCAGTGTTCTAACCCTTCAACTTCCAAGAAAGCCAATTACTTTGGGAAAATTAAATGCTGGCAGTTATCAGCTCACCTAAAAACAAATGGATGCTTACTTCTGAAGCCCACCAATCATATGAAGTTTTGACTGACCATAGAAACAACCTCAACCAATAACATAAGGGTATGGAAGTAACCAATCACATACTCCCTCACGTACCAACAGTACAGTGCGATCAATGGCTACACTCTAGAAAGGGCTCCAAGGTGTCATCTGTGTTGGTAATACTACACTTACATATGTCCTGCCTAAGACAACAGTAAATTAAGCTGTATACATAGTTAAGTTGAACTACCATGATTTTAGTACATACCTTAAAAGAGACACAGAAAAATACTCTTAGAAAGAAACTGTTTCTACTACTCAGAAAAAATCTACCCAAAGACACAAGATGTTTATGTAAATATTGCTCATATAGATTTATACGTATAAAACTGATACTTATTGATGAGGAGACAACCCTGATAAATTATTTCTTCAAGCTGTTACATTCAGTGTAGCAATGAGATCCACTCTTGGAAAGGGAGCTGAAATGGCAACTTAATTTTTACCTGCAAAGCACCAATAGCTGCGCTCTGGAAACGCAGATCTGTTTTGAAGTCCTGAGCAATTTCACGCACCAGGCGCTGGAAAGGAAGTTTGCGGATCAGAAGTTCAGTTGACTTCTGATAACGCCTGATTTCACGAAGAGCCACAGTACCTGGCCTTTGAAGCAAAAGCATAAAAGATTAATAATATTTTTCCCTTCATCTCTGGAAAACTATAGAGAGAGCAACTGACTGTGTATACTTGTTTCCACTAGTACACAACTACATTCTGTATCAGCAGTTTTTTTTTCAAACAAAACACACAAGCAGGTTTTGGTTTTTAAAAAAGCAATCCAAGATAGAACTTAAAAAGAGGAGGAAGGAATCTGATTTTAGTTCCCTATATCCATTTTGCTTTGTGCACTTAAGACAAAGGAGTGGGGAGTGGGGGAATGGCTGCTAGATCACAAAAAATTGTGTCAATTAAGCTATCTTCTAAAATACACTTTATCTTAAGAATAACAACAAATAATAAAAATAGTGTGAAACTTGATTGACCTGCTTATCTGAAGGCAGCCACTGCCCTCTGGTGGCACAATGAAAAAATTATATGTTAGACAGTAAGTGCAAAGGAGCTCAATTAATTTAAATAAATCAAAAATGACCGGGCTTGCCAAATTTAAACATATCACCCTGTTTGCTGCAACACCCTACTTAATACTCAGACCTTATTTCTAAATCCTAAACAAGACATAATTTTTTTTAAACTCAAGACTAGGATTTTCAGATTTAATCTTATTTGACGAATCAGACAAATAAATATATTACTATTAGAAGCAATTTTATAGCTTTCGAAAAATGTCCAATATAAAATTTATTATAGGTCGAATATAAATTGCTTAAAGTCAGGTGAAAAAAACCGCTAAAGTCCTTGTCAAAATATTCACGATTCAATGTAAATGAAACAATGCGTCGATATTGCCTTAAAAGAAAAAAAAACTGTTTTGAAAAAAACCCTTTCTGCGTCGTTAAGGGCGCGCGACATGACCGTACATTACTTTCGTTCCCGGTTATTTCTTTACCTGTAGCGATGAGGTTTCTTGACCCCACCAGTAGAGGGCGCACTCTTGCGAGCGGCTTTTGTCGCGAGTTGCTTCCTGGGCGCCTTCCCACCGGTGGATTTACGGGCAGTTTGCTTGGTACGAGCCATGTTCCCGCGAACTTCTCTCCCTTACACCTATCGGCAAGAAATCGGCCACAGGATCACTACTCGATCGCCAGGCAGCCACGAGAAAAACGGATGCAGATGGCGTTTGTTTCAAACTGCCTTTCAAAAAAAAAATTTAAAAAGCCCCCCAGGGATGTTAAGGACCACCTTACGGCAATTAAAACGTTGCAGCCCCGCACCTCCGGTGCCGAGCCTTGCCTCTCGATAAGACACTGGAGCTTGTCACCCAGAAAGAAATGCTCCCCCTTCCAAGTACCGGATTGGAAAACGGTCGGGAAGCCCTCCTTCTAATTTATTTCCGAGCAAAATAAATGCCTACGATCTTATCAAATCACTAAAATTACAGCCCCCTATTTTTCTGCCCGGGGCTTAGAATAGGAGCGATGCAGCCACGATCAGAGGGGCGATTCCACCAACCCAAGAGAGAAGAAACGGCTTTGCCCCTCCGGGGGGGGGTCCAAAGTGCCAGTAATTGCTCAGAACGGAGGGGGGAGAGACACACGATTTATCGCTTGTACGGAGCAAAAAGAAATGCAAAAAAATCCCGTTTTCCAACGGACGGAAAAATGGGGAGCAAATGCCTCAAAAGTGCTCTCTGGGCAAGAAGGCACGGTTTGCGTGGAGCCGCCGAGCGAGCAAAGCAAATGGGAGCCAGAGACCAGTCCGATTTCATTCGAGCAAAGGAGCAAAGGGGGGGGGGACACAACCCAAGTCGGATGGGAAGAGCAAGAAAGGAACGAACTTTTTTGGGGGGGCTGGTTTTTCGGCGCTGCCTCTGTCTGTACCATTGCCCGTCCTAAGGCTGCCTCGCTCCCAAGCGCCTCTCGCTGGCAAACTCATCCCCAACAAAATGGAAACAATCACGAAATGCAGCCCTAGTCCCTTTGCAGGGAGAGAAAGAGAGAGACGGGGAATGGGGGGGAGGAAAAAAAATAATAAAATAGCACAATAACACCAAAGGAGACGAAAAATTCCCCCAGAAGCTTCCAACCAAGCGAGATCCGGCAAGCCAAGGGAGAGGGGAAAAGTTTGGACTCCTAATATGCCCAAATCTCCCCGGGTTCCGAGGGTTTCCTGGGCACATTTCTCCCCTTTTTATTGTTTTTATGCAATAGGGGGAAAATATGGTCGGTGACCAGAGAAAAGAGACAAGATGGTGAAGCTGAGCAACAACTATGGGGAAGCAGGCAAGGAGAGTTTGCCAGGGCTGGCAACTGGTTCGTTTCCAGCCGCTCCCGAGCCCCGATCACGGGCGACGAAGGGTCGGGGCGATCAGTGAGGGGCCACGGAGGACGATCGTGAGGGTCTGGGTTGGGGACGAGGGCAACGGAGGGGGGCAACGACCGAGCAAAGTGGGGCCGGGGGGGGCCGAGGGCAAGAGCCGTCTCAGCTCCTCGGCTGCACACGGGAAGGCAGACTCTCCTGCCCCCCAACACGGAGCGCCGGTCCCCAGAAGTTTGCCAGGGAGGGCAAGGGGCACCTCCGACGGGTCCCCGGCTCGGCGGGAGGGGTAGCGGGGCGTCCGGGGAGGGAAGGCGGGCGACTTACCCCCGTCCGCTGAGGCTGAGCACGGCTGCCAAACAGGCAAGAAGAGCGAGGCGGCGCTGAAGCTGCTGCGGGCGACGGCGGCGGCTGAGAGCACAATTGAAAGATGGCTGACTCGGGAGGGCAGTCTCCGCTGCTAAGCGACGCCCTCCGCCCGCCCAGATCACGCCCCCTCCTCGCCCGGCCGCCAATGGCACACAATGGAGGGAAGGCGAGGCCGCGCCCACTCCCTTGCGGTCCTGCCTACTCTCGGCTTCCCGCGGCCGCCTCTGTGTGTACAAACACAAAAGACATGCCGCCCGCGCGCGCGCCGCTGGCAGAAAGGGAGTCCCTCTGGGTCAGCCTCTGCTCGGGCAGCGAGGACCGGACCGGTGGCCAGGAGGTGGTGGAGGAGGGGTGGGAGCACGTGGTCCGGTTCAACGGCTAACAGTCCGGCGGGAGCAGCCCCAACGGCCAAGCACGGGCGCAAGGTGAGGCCAACGGCCTCTCTCGCCCGTAACAGGTACAAGGAGTTGCGCGCTCCTCGACCTCCGCCCCCCCCGAGTCAGGGTCGCAGTTTAGGGCGGGAGGCAACATGTGGTTTTAAAAAAAAGCGGGGCGGCATGTGTTGCTGCTGTAAAGATTCTTAGAAGTGAGAAACCTTTGTCACTGGGTGAGGATTTGTGAGGTAGCAGTTGCAAGAATGGAATAAAAGCGCTAGATGAATGATTCTGATGGCCAGAAATGATTTTCACTAACTGAAAGGCTGTGATCTTCTCCTGCCTTGGTCCTGGCAGCATCATTTCCTTGCCTTCACAACCCTTAAACTAGAATATAGAGAAATGTTAATCTTTAAGGTGGCATTTCAGAAAGATTTAGGTACTGTACCTTGAAAGTTAAAGGAAAGTGGAATGAGGTTATTATAGTACCTGACATAAATGGAAGCAGCATGGTGGTGATCAGGTTCAGTTTCAAATTTTGACAACTCATTTTGCGTGGGAAATATCACAGGAGACGTCTTCTTTATTCTAACATCTTTATTATTTACATGATGATCCGCACTGTTCATAATTGGATCGAAAACACTTAACTCAGGCAACAAGCCATAACTGTCCAGTACAAGCTCCCGCCCAAAGTCTGTTGAACTCATGGGTGCTGGGCCAAACTTCTCGGAGGGTTTCCAGAGGGGTGCGCTTCTCACTGCACCGATGGTGCCGCAGCATGGGTGCCGGGCCCAGTTCCCCTCAGGTGGGGGGTGTTGTATCTCAAATCCGGATGAATCACCTGTCCTCTCCCTTTCCCCTTTGGGAATACTATCACGGACCACTCTAAGGTCTCATACCTTGCTTCACCTGATTCCTTATTGGGGGGGTGTTCTGGGAGCAATCCCCCTAACTTTAGGTTGGGAAAATCCCTCAATAATTCTTGGGTTTTTATTTTCTCACATTCTCATAGCCTTTCCAGCTCTCTCTTGTGCTTCTGTAGCTCTAATTCTACCTTGAACTGCTGCTCCCCTTGGTTACTTATACCCTCCTCCCAAACCGACAGTTCTTGCTCCTCCCCCTTCCGACTCCCGCTTTCCTCTACCAAGCATATTTCAAACTTGCCCTTTCTTTCGACTCTCTCCCGCTCCTCGGTCATGTTCTCCTTTGGGTCTGACTTTAAACCGGCGCTTTCTGGTTCCACTTCTCCCACTCCACCCTCTGTCTCGTTAGATGGCACACTCTCCTTCGGGCCTCCTTCACATGCCCCCCCAACAAGTGGGCTGTCTCCTCATCGCCTGGGGCATCCTCCCATTTCTCCTGTCGGGAGAAATAGTCTGCATCAGCGTGGGCTAGCCCCTTTTTGTATTGTACTTCAAAGGTGTACATCTGCAAGCTCAAATATTTATTTATTTATTTCGGGGCGATCAGTGAGGGGCCACGGAGGACGATCGTGAGGGTCTGGGTTGGGGACGAGGGCAACGGAGGGGGGCAACGACCGAGCAAAGTGGGGCCGGGGGGGGCCGAGGGCAAGAGCCGTCTCAGCTCCTCGGCTGCACACGGGAAGGCAGACTCTCCTGCCCCCCAACACGGAGCGCCGGTCCCCAGAAGTTTGCCAGGGAGGGCAAGGGGCACCTCCGACGGGTCCCCGGCTCGGCGGGAGGGGTAGCGGGGCGTCCGGGGAGGGAAGGCGGGCGACTTACCCCCGTCCGCTGAGGCTGAGCACGGCTGCCAAACAGGCAAGAAGAGCGAGGCGGCGCTAAAGCTGCTGCGGGCGACGGCGGCGGCTGAGAGCACAATTGAAAGATGGCTGACTCGGGAGGGCAGTCTCCGCTGCTAAGCGACGCCCTCCGCCCGCCCAGATCACGCCCCCTCCTCGCCCGGCCCCCAATGGCACACAATGGAGGGAAGGCGAGGCCGCGCCCACTCCCTTGCGGTCCTGCCTACTCTCGGCTTCCCGCGGCCGCCTTCGTGTGCCTGCCTACTCTCGGCTTCCCGCGGCCGCCTCTGTGTGTACAAACACAAAAGACATGCCGCCCGCGCGCGCGCCGCTGGCAGAAAGGGAGTCCCTCTGGGTCAGCCTCTGCTCGGGCAGCGAGGACCGGACCGGTGGCCAAGAGGTGGTGGAGGAGGGGTGGGAGCACGTGGTTCGGTTCAACGGCTAACAGTCCGGCGGGAGCAGCCCCAACGGCCAAGCACGGGCGCAAGGTGAGGCCAACGGCCTCTCCTGCCCGGAACAGGTACAAGAAGGAGTTGCGCGCTCCACGACCTCCCCCCCTCAGGGTCGCAGTTTAGGGCGGGAGGCAACATGTGGTTTTAAAAAAAAGCGGGGCGGCATGTGTTGCTGCTGTAAAGATTCTTAGAAGTGAGAAACCTTTGTCACTGGGTGAGGATTTGTGAGGTAGCAGTTGCAAGAATGGAATAAAAGCGCTAGATGAATGACTCTGATGGCCAGAAATGATTTTCACTAACTGAAAGGCTGTGATCTTCTCCTGCCTTGGTCCTGGCAGCATCATTTCCTTGCCTTCACAACCCTTAAACTAAATATAGAGAAATGTTAATCTTTAAAGTGGCATTTCAGAAAGATTTAGGTACTGTACCTTGAAAGTTAAAGGAAAGTGGAATGAGGTTATTATAGTACCTGACATAAATGGAAGCAGCATGGTGGTGATCAGGTTCAGTTTCAAATTTTGACAACTCATTTTGCGTGGGAAATATCACAGGAGACGTCTTCTTAATTCTAACATCTTTATTATTTACATGATGATCGGCACTGTTCATAATTGGATCGAAAACACTTAACTCAAGCAACAAGCCATAACTGTCCAGTACACGCTCCCGCCCAAAGTCTGTTGAACTCATGGGTGCTGGGCCAAACTTCTCGGAGGGTTTCCAGAGGGGTGCGCTTCTCACTGCACCGATGGTGCCGCAGCATGGGTGCCGGGCCCAGTTCCCCTCAGGTGGGGGGTGTTGTATCTCAAATCCGGATGAATCACCTGTCCTCTCCCTTTCCCCTTTGGGAATACTATCACGGACCACTCTAAGGTCTCATACCTTGCTTCACCTGATTCCTTATTGGGGGGGTGTTCTGGGAGCAATCCCCCTAACTTTAGGTTGGGAAAATCCCTCAATAATTCTTGGGTTTTTATTTTCTCACATTCTCATAGCCTTTCCAGCTCTCTCTTGTGCTTCTGTAGCTCTAATTCTACCTTGAACTGCTGCTCCCCTTGGTTACTTATACCCTCCTCCCAAACCGACAGTTCTTGCTCCTCCCCCTTCCGACTCCCGCTTTCCTCTACCAAGCATATTTCAAACTTGCCCTTTCTTTCGACTCTCTCCCGCTCCTCGGTCATGTTCTCCTTTGGGTCTGACTTTAAACCGGCGCTTTCTGGTTCCACTTCTCCCACTCCACCCTCTGTCTCGTTAGATGGCACACTCTCCTTCGGGCCTCCTTCACATGCCCCCCCAACAAGTGGGCTGTCTCCTCATCGCCTGGGGCATCCTCCCATTTCTCCTGTCGGGAGAAATAGTCTGCATTAGCGTGGGCTAGCCCCTTTTTGTATTGTACTTCAAAGGTGTACATCTGCAAGCTCAAATATTTATTTATTTATTTGATTTATATCCCGCCCATCTGGTATATTCTACCACTCTGGTAACTCGAGGATTACAGTCTTTCATTCTATTCTACCATTGTAAGGGAGCATGGTCAGTGACCAATACAAAAGGAGCCCCTAACAGGTAATATCTCAGGGTCTGGATTGCCCACTTGGCCACTAGCGCTTCTTTCTCTATGGTGGAATACTTCTGCTCTCTAGGAGACAATTTCTTACTTAGATACATCACTGGGTATTCCTTTCCATCTTGTTTCTGTGCCAATACTGCCCCTATCTGAGGCATCTGTCTGATCACGAAAGGTCTTTTGAAATCTGGCGCATACCTACTTGGCAACTCACTTAACACAGCTTTCAATCTATCAAATGCTCTCTGTTCTGGGATGCCCCACCTGACCAATCTAGACGCTCATTTCTTAGTCAAGTCTGTCAAGTGAGCTGCAATTTCTGCAAAATTCAGGACAAATTGTCTGTAGCATCCTGCCAAACCTAAGAACTGTTGTACTTCTCTTTTGTTCCGGGGTACTTTCCAATCTGTAATTTTTTCCACTTTCTTGGGCATGGGCTGGATCTTTCCTTGGTCTATCTGGTACCCCAAGAAGGTTACTTCCTTCCTTGCAACCTTACACTTTTGGGCTTCATCTTAAGACCAGACTTTCTCAACTCCCTCCAAACTGCCTCTAAATGGGTTAGAATAGATGTTCCTCCCAACTCCTACTATATATTAAGATTTTGTCAATGTAAGCACCTGCAAAGTGTTGGACCGGTTCTAGCACTTTGTCCATTAAGCTCTGGAATGTCACTGCTGCCCCATGCAGCCCAAATAGCATGCAGGAGAAATGGAACAACCTCTTTGGGGTCATGAAAGTTGTTTCCCCCCCCCACACCTTATCTTCCTTTTTAAGGGGAGTTTGCCAATATCCCTTCGTCCCCCCAAAACCTTATCTTCCTCTTTAAGGGGAGTTTGCCAATATCCCTTCGTCAGATCTAAGAAGGACAGGTACTTTGCCTAACTCACTGGCTCTAAAACAGGAGTCTCAAGCTCAATTTACCTGGGGGCCGCTGGAGGCAGAGGCTGGGTAAGGCTGGGCTGCATCAGATTTTCTGCCAAGCTGAGCAAGAGCCCGAGGAAGCCACCCAGGAGTTTCCTGAGCCCGGCTGGGGCTCCGAGGAGGAGGAGGGGCGCATGAGCCCTCGTCGCCAGCCACAACCCCCT